CTGGCCTGTATTTAAACCAAGATACAAGGCTATAATCTGTCTTTCCCAGAGTTCTGCACATAAAAAGGTGCACAGTCAATCACAGCTGATTCCTGACTCATATTTAAACCAAACTATAAGGCTATAATCTGTCTTTCCCAGAATTTTGCACATAAAAAGGTGCACAGTCAATCACATCTGATTCCTGGCCTGTATTTAAACCAAGATACAAGGCTGTAATCTGTCTTTCCCAGCGTTTTCCACACACAAAGATGCACAGTGTCTGTCACACCTGAGTCCTGCAATCCCCTTCTGAAAAAGGGCTTTGGGAAGAGGGAAAGAGAGGTGGTGGTGAAATGATTCAGCAGCACAGCAGGACTTCACCTCTGAAGGCAGCTCAGCTCAATCCCTGCTTATTGTTACCCCTCTTTCCATCTCTCTTCCCACAGATTCCATACCTGGGGTTTTGCTCCTGTGAAGAACTGGGAGACACGGGTGTTTGGCAGCTCACAGACCCCCCCATCCTCCCTCTCACACATGGACCCACTGGAGGCTTTAACTGGAGAGAAACCTTACTGCAGGAATAGGCAAAGCCACCCCAGCCAGGAAAACCCAACCCATGGCCTTTGGAAGCGTTGGAGAATGTCTCTTCTCTCTTGTGTTTTATTGACAGTGGAAAAAACAGTCATCCCATGCCCAGGGGGTCACCCAAGCAGCTGTCCTGGTCTATCTCACACAGCCACAGTCACACAAAGAGTCTCATCTACGGCTAAAATGCAAAAAGGGACTGATTTCAGGGGGAAAAAAGGTATTAAAATACAGGTTTGAAGGTCTTGCACAGCACAGAGTCTGTGCTGAGCCACATTCCCACCTCAGAGGGAGCCCTGGTGACACTTTCACTGCCATCTGCACCCCGTTAGGAACACCCAGCCCTGTGTCAGTGGAGCATTCAGGAGGCTGGGGCTGGTTTTTTTCCACTACTATTTTTGCAGAGCATTAGCAGGCTCCTCCAGCCCCACGTGTGAGCAGGGGCTGCACTCACAGCCCCCAAATTCTCAGCACCTTTTCATCACCACCAGCTGCAAAGGAGGGTCCAGCAGCAGGTTGTTCCTCTCCTGTGTCTGAGCACTGTGGTGGGTGTTGTGCTGGATGCAGAGGTTGAGGGATTGTTGACCTGCACCACAGGACAATCCCAAATTTCCCATCAGTTACAGGTGAAGTTTGAGCATCAAAAGTTGTTGTGAACAGAGACTGGGAGCAGTTTCTTTTATGGGGAGATAAAATAAACCTATTTCAACCAAACCTGGAGGATTTAGAAAGTTCAGGGTTGGTGAATTTGATTATTGAAATCCATCCCTGTGCACAGACACAGCCTAAAGCATTTGTGCCATTTCAATTCCCTTCAGAAAAGGGGTTTTCCTTTTATACTGAGATTTTGTGCTGGTCATTCACACAGGGGTGGCTTTCTGTCCCCTGGGAGCTATTTTTTTTTTGCTAGCCCTGGTGAGATTCTGCAGTAAGCAGCTTTCTCCAGGAGGGAATGATGAAACTCAAAAAGATGCTGGAATTCAGTGCTTTGCTTCCTTATCCTTAATTCCCAAGTGCCATCTGTCATAAAGACAAAGCAGCTGAAAAAAAAAAAATAAACCCAGTACACTTAAATTTAGGAGAAACATGCTTTGGCCTATGAAGATGCTATTTATCCAGTGGGGGGAGGGTTAGGATTTTGGGAGAAGGGGAAGAGGAGAGTTTCCATCTTTAACTAAAATCTTTGCAATCACAAGAGGGGTCCTCCTGGTGCAAGAGTCTGCAGGATGCCAGTGCCAGCTGGGTCACAGGAGAATGCAAAATACATCACAGTGGGTAGTTTAGAGAATAAAGTGGCATCAGAGCGGGGGGGGTTGGATTAGAATTATCTAAGTCATCAGCCTTGGATGAAAATGTTGCTGCAGACTCTTGTATGGATCTCATCACTGTCAGAAGGTACTTAAAAATGTGTTGAAGTGGGATGATAGAGATTTAGGCTATTTAGGCATAGCCCTGTCTTGGTTTGAGCCATAAATCTGAGTATTCCCAGAAATAGAATCATCCCAGAATGGTTTGCGTTGGAAGGGACCTTAAAGCTCATCTCATTCCACCCCCCTGCCATGGCCAGGGACACCTTCCACTGGACCAGCATCCAGCCTGGCCTTGGACACTCCCAGGGATGGGCCATCAACAATTTCACTGGGCAACAAAGAGTAAAAACAAGGTAACAACAAAAAAAAATAACATAAAGGCACATTCAGATGTACCAGGGAGACATTCCAGCATCCTTCTGTCCTGCTTTTCCTCTGCAGAAAGTGTCAGAGCCCTCATTTGAAATGTGTGAATGGGTCAACACAGGTCCAACTTGATGTAGGTTTAGTATTCCTAGATCAGAGTTGCCTTCGTGTTGATTTATTTTAAGCCATCCAGCCTTCAGCAGGACTGGTCCCACCTCCACCAGGACACATCCAAGCTGCCCTTCCAGCAGCCAGAACGAAGCAGGAGTCACAAACTGCAATTCCCTCTTCCTAAACGAGGCAAAACTGGGATGCACCAGACTCAGATGTCACCAGACTCAGACAAGCTCAGCTTGCCTCTGGGTTTAAATCAAGCTTGACCACCAGATTCTGTACATATTTCCAGCCAGCAAAGAGCTCATCCTGTGCAAAATCCTGTCCACTGTCACCACCCACAGGAATATTCTGGGATTTGGACCTTTCTGCCTGTGTGACACACCCTGGGCCACTTGTAAGTGCATTATTATCCCAGGGATGTAACTGCAAAGTCAGGGAGATAATTCATGGGCTGAGAGAGCAAACTGCTCCTGGGCAGGTTTATCACTGTCAGGTTTAATTTTTAATTGTAATTTAAACTGGTTTGGGCTGTGCAAAGACATCCTGAAGAGCATTTCTGGCTTGTTTTCCTCCACGCTTAAAAACTAAGTAGTTGACAATCACACCAAAAGAGATTTGGTTCCTGATGTGGAATTCTCCAGATTGCTTTTTGTTTCATGCTGGGTGGCCAGCCAGATGTAATTTGGGCAATAAATATTATTATATTATAATATCTATTGCCTGTACAAAGCAGTGGAGGCAATAAAATCATTATATTATAGTATTTATTGCCTGTACAAAGCAGTGGAGGCTGCTCAGGCCCTGCTGCAGTTAAGTGACATTAAAAGAAGGTTGTTTTTTTTTTTAAGCAGAAGCATGAAACAGAGAGGGAACAAAACCTGAGTGCACAATTTGAATAGTGTACAAGCTGCTCTTTGCATATAGTGATATAGAAGAATGTTCTGTTGGAGAAGGTAGTGGTAAAATACTCTCTTCTTAAAGAAAAAAAAAAGTATATTTTTTGATGTTTGGGAAAGTATTTTGACAATTGTAGTCTTGTCTCAAACTAGGTGTCAAGAAAGAAAGAAAAAATCTTATTTTCTTCTAGCATTTTGATTTCTCTTTGGGGTTTTGTGTTGTCTCATGTTGATAAGGTTTATTTAGGGGGGCGGGGAAAAAAGAATAAAAATGTGTTCCTTTTAAATTTTTAATTGAGAAATTAAGGGTACAAAACAATTGCTGCTTCACTTTCACTCCATTGCTGCTCATTAATGTGTATTTAAGTGTTTTGTCCTAAATTTAGACTTGATCTATGTCAAGTCTTTCCCTTGCCTTCACTTTGAGCTGCATCAGATCCCAACAGTCTCATCAGGTTGGAGGAGGCAAATAGTTCCCAGATTTTTCCCTAATTAAGGAATAAAGCTGCCAAGAATAAATTGTTAATCCAGTATTTTTGTTAATTGCAACTCATGGGTTGGGTTAGAAAAATAAAAGAGTCAAATTGACACTGTCAACTGAAATCACAGAGCTTTGATTTTTTATGCAAAATGAGGATCCAGACCATAATAACTTAAAAAAGCCACAGTTATTTCCCTTTTCTCTCAGATTGAACAGTTTCAGGAAGAAGTTGGCTGAGAGCAGGAGCCTCCTTCTCCCCTCTGATATTACATTTTAGTGTCAATGTTACCGTGAGGGTGATAATTTTTATCACCAAAGAACGAGTTTGGTTTGTGGTTTGCTTTGTTTCTTAAAAAAAAAAAGAGCCTGAGCACAGAAGAAATTATTTTTAAGTTAAAAATACACATGAGATGGTGGGGGCAGACATGCTTGAAACGGTGAATCAATGAAGAAAACAAATCTAATTAAGCAGTTGGTGTGATTGGCTGCAAACACCCTAAATTGCTACTTGCTGCTCACCACTTCCTCAAATACTTGTTCCCTGGGGAATATTCATGACCTGCACATGCTTCCTGACAGAAAACACACAGCCAGTCCCTTTATTATTTCCCATTCAAACGTATTTTCTGAAGTTTCACTCGGTGACATCCCTTCAAACTTGATGTTATCAACTCTCCTGGTGTTTCATTTTCAACCTGTTGTAGCATTCTGTTTATTATGTTGTTGGGGTTTTTTGGTTTTTTTTAGTGTGAGCAGATTGTATTTATTTGAGGGGGAAAAAAATGTTTGCTGTTTTAAAAAACCCAATAATTGTATTGCCAAAAATAGCTGTAATTACCTGTGACATCTGTATTTTTTTATTTTGGGGGCGGGAGGGGTGGGGGTTGGTTGGTTGTTTTTAATCTCAGTTTCGAGTGCTAACAACTGTTAAAACAACCACTGCAGTTTAATTCGCTTCTGACATTAAATGGATTTCTCGGAAGTCCGACAAAAAAGAAAAAAAAAGTCTCATGGGTGATTTAATAAAGATGCCAAACACCCTTCCTATTCCAGTTTTCCTCTGGAGCGTGTTGGAATTTGAGCCACGTTTTTGTTCCCTGCACTGATGGTGAAGTTCATGCGTTTGACAGCAGATGGCACAAAACCCTCTCGAGTGTGGTTTTCCCTGGAGTCTCAACTCCTTTGTTGCCTTTTCCCCCCCAGACTTATTTCGTGTGTGGAATGGAAGCACAACTTCTAAACCCAAAGCGCTGCTAACTTTAATATGGATTTTTTTTTAATCCAGCAATGGTTTTATCAGCCAGAGAGACTCTTCCCTTTCAAACCAACTCCATGAATTCATGACCTGCAGCTCTGTACCCCGGTAAAATTGATTATATTATGATTAACATAGAAGCCATAACTTTCATAAATCAAATGTACACTAATAGAATGATGCACTTCCCTGCACCTAAAAGTTTAATGGAAACAGTTTCTAATAAATTAGAAGCCAAACCAGTAATGCATTTATAATTAACCATTTTGTCCACTTCCCTCAAGCCCACATCCTGCAAGTGCACACAGCTTTTAAGCCATAATTCTGACCTTATTAAAGTCAGTTTATTTGGACAGTAATAGCCATTTACACTAAATTTTGGGCAGT